GGGAAGAAGGGATGGTCGAAATAAACATTGAACAAGATGAGTAAATTCGAATGCTTAGTGGATGTGTGGGGGCTTTTATGAACAATAAGCATGTGTTAGAGAAAACAAGAATGTGGGTCAATTTTGGAAGTGGGTGAGTGCGTGTGTGTGCTTATATCATTTGTATTTGTTTTTAGTTTCATTCTTGTTAATTTTTAAAGATATCTTTAAAATCTGAAACTGAATTCCCTTGGAGATTGTGGCGTTTCATCTGACTGTTGTTATATTGCCTACACCGTGACCCCGTATCGCTAAAACCAAAGGCAAAAATTAGAAGTACATGTGTCTCCATGATCTTCATCAAAAGAATTCAAGCACATATTACATGAATTGGTCAGTGTTTAAACATTTTCAAACTTAGACAGGGGACTCAATAACAGTAATGAAGGACCTGAAGTCAGCGTGACATCGCATTTAACCCCCTTTTTAATATATAAATCTGAAAAATGACAGTTATGACACTGCCTCCTGTTTCCCTTGTTTTTCTTCTAAAAATTTGAGAGAAGAAAATGAGAGTTTTTTTTTTCTCTTCTTGCCTTCATTGTTGGCAAATTTCATAATCTGGGTATCGTTTTTTTTTATTATTAGAAAATTGTTTTGAAAACTACACTAGTTGGAAAATTTTGCTTTATTACCCCATCATAAATGGAATAGGGATGCCCCAGGACTTACATTATGGACCCATTGCAAGAGACAAATGCTATTTTGTATACGGCAGATAGATTTATTCTAGAAAACATTCGTAACATTTACATATTCATATTTAGTAGATAATTTCGTGTATCATATCTCCATGAAGTTACAAGGATAGACTGTGGCAGGCATGCCGATATAGATATTCAAACATTTCATGTCGACCCAGAGAGATACATGTACACCAATTATTGTACATTTACGGAGTTACAGAACTATTAATTTAGACATTACTTACTAACCCGACAAAAGAAAGTGAGAAAAATAGTTGAGAGTTACAAAGGGGAACATGATCAGCTCATCACTTATTGTGAAAAGAAGATAGTTACAGTGGTCTGGACATGTAACAAGAAGGAAGAATAGCTTGACAAACACTATATTGCAAGAAGGAACTAATGGGAGAAGAAAGAGGGGTAGACTAACAAGGACATGGACTGATAACATCAAGCATTGGACGAGCATGTCATTTAAGTAGCTAACGAGAACAGCTGAAAAGAGGGAGTTATGGAGAACCTATATAAATATGTCTAAGGGTCCATTTTCATTAAAATGGTTAGTCCAGGGTTTGTGATAACACTTCCCTGGTTAGTCCAATGCAACCTGTTAACAATCATACTCGTTCAGTTATGACGCGGCCAAACGGTGCCATATTTGTTATGATCAATTAGCTGTAACATGCTTCAAATGGCCTTATCTCTTCGGATACGTTTAGGATCTTTGCTGCTTGCATTTGCCTTTCATTTACATGTTTAAAAAAAACTGCCAGGGTTTTTATGCGGCAGCTTACCGCGCCAAATCTGAACAAGACTTTAAACATCTTCAAGGATTCTAAATTGTTCTGAAAATGTGCAGTCCATTGGGTAAGTGCGGATCATACTCAGTCAATACTTCTCTGGGATTCCGAGATATTTTGTTGTTGTACACTGCTCAGTCCTGTATCTGTTACCTGGTAGCCATCATGTAGGTTCAAATGATCTTCAGGTATCCGAATCTATAATATTGTTTTCTACGCCTTCATGAAATTGAGGCAAATAGCCCCTAAACTACCTGAAATTATAATATATCGAACTACTTATAAACTCTCTCAACCAGATGATGAATATAATATTCTAATAAACGTAAAGGTCAAAGATTGAATATTTTCTTTAATGTTCTCCTTTCCGGATGTGCATGTATAGCGCCATCTCCAACATTCCAATTGTAGTCTCGAAGGAAGACGGTTCCGTTCTACGAGACTTTTGGCAATAGTAATTTAACTCTAACTTTAGAATATTTTGTAATGGGGGAGGGGGTGACAATAATATAATTTAATCGGGTATATATTTGCTCAACAGATGCTTGACAAAATGAGATCGAAGTTCATTGGGCGATCTTAATCTACTTGTCTGCCAAAGGTTAGTTGCTGACAATCCACAGTACCTAAAAATAGACTGACAAACTAAATACAAACAGGCGCGTACGCAGGGGGGGGGGGGGGGGGAGGGGTTTTTCTAACGAGTGATTTACAAATGTTGCTGAAATGACATGATTTTCCGGGATTTTGTTCTCATTTTTCTGGAAAATATTACTTTATTATGCGTTTGTTAGAAAATGACGAATTCCCAAATCTACAATCAGACAAAAAATATGCTCATGAGAAGCCTACATGTCAGGGTCCGCGGATTGCCTGGGATTGGAGGGCTTGAGCCCCCTCCCCCCCCCCCCCCCCCCCCCCCCCCATTTTTTGAAAAAAGATATGCTCATCTGACCGTCATTAATTGCCTAAAACCCTTGAGCTTCCGGGGGCTCTGCCCCTGGACCCGAACAGGTGCCTCAGGCGGCCCCTGAATGCTCATCATATTAGATGCCTAAAACCCCTGAGCTTCATGGGGCTCAGCCCACAGCCCCCTGCCCATGCAGTGTCACCGTGTATAAGGTAGCAAAATAAGCTTATCTGACCGTAATTCAAAGACTAAAACCCCTTGGGGCTCTGACTCTTAACCGCCGCCGGGGCTTTGCCTCTGGACCCAAAGCCAATTTACGCTCGCTTAGCTCAACCTGATCGTAAATACTTTATCGCCCCCCCCCCCGCCCCCCAATATGAAAAACGTTCCGCGGGGCCTGCATGTAACATGTAAGAGTGGTGGTGATGCGGATCATTTTTTTTGCCACCCCAAAACGTTTTTGCTCATTCCGCCACTGATTCAAACTGTAATTTCGAAGGAGCACCGTTCTACAAGACTTTAGCAAAAGCAATTCGACTCTTACTTAATAATTTTTTTTTAATGGGGGAAGGGGATAACAGAAATAGAATTCAAGTTTGACACGGGAATATGTCGGCCCGACAGACGCTTGACATACTGAGATCGATGTTCTATTGTGCCATTTCAATCTGGATGTCTGTCAAAGGTTACTGGGAATTCCCAGTTACTAAAATTAGAATGACAAGCTTGATACAAACATGTATATTACCACGCATGATCAGTGCACTACTATATTGTAAAGGCAGAGAGTATACATGTTTACTGATTTCATATAACACCCAGACCGATACGTATACTGACGAAAAAAGACGTGAGTAAATTTAAATGTAAATGTATGTCATTTCCAAAAGAAATACAGTGACATTTCGTAATATTTTCGTTTAAATTGTCGTATATTCATGTCATTATAAGCCAAGTCCCAGACACTTTTGAGACTTTGTTTGTATCTGGTTTGTAAAATTATCATGTTCATTAGACTGAAATAGTTGGGTCTGTGTCTAGATGTCTATGGGTGGATAAATGGACATCGATTTCGCCAAGACTAAAATGAGAATGACGGGTGTTTGGGAAATTGTATCAGTTTGTTAAATCATGAAGAAACAGGTTACAAAAATAAATCTAAACAAAACAGAGCTTTGAAACCAGACCATAACAGTGTAATGTCCTTGATCGTGAACACGGAAGTAACGTTTGTCGCATTAGACAAATTACGAGCATATTGATATCGTCCATAAGTATAACATTTTAGTGTTTGTTTGTCCTGGAGAAAATTGTCGCTCTTTTGTTTAATTTTTGTAATTTGAACTACGAAATTACACATTTGTAATGGACTACTATTCTTGCATATACATACACATGGTAAACATTTCATCTTGCGTGATTGACATATGTGTCGTATTAGTTGAGGTGTAGTATAGTAGAGTGGTTCATTCACTTGACTCTCAATCTAAGAGATGGGGTTTCGAATCCCAGCCCAGCATTATAACGTCATTCAGAATTGTGGTACTGTGTTGTTGCACTATGCGTGTGTGTGTGTGGGGGGGGGGGAGGCAGGGCAGACATATATGTTCCGTAGGCGCTTGACAAACTGAAATCGAGGTTTCAGTCTGTCAAAAGTTACTGGGAATTCCCAGTCACTAAAAATAGACTGACAAACTAAACAATGACATATAATGTAGTACTAATTGTGCACCCAGTAGCGTACGCAGGATTTTTTCAAGGGGGGGGGGGGGGTTAACATTTTTAAATCGGGCCGAAAATTTCGCAACGACTGAGCCAACCGCTGAATAAGCGGGGGGGGGGGGGGGGGTAAGAGGACACTTTTTTTGTTGGGGGGGGGGGGTCTGGAAATTTGAAAATTTGACATTTTGCTCCGTTGGGGGGGGGGGGTAAGGTCACCTTTTTTAGGTCAGCCATTGGTATAATTTGTTTTAATTTAAAAAATCAAAAAAAAATCAAAGGGGGGGGGGTTGCTCCAAAATACACACATAATAAAAACTGAAGGGGGGTAACCCCCCCCCTCCCTCCCCCCCCCCCCCCCCCCCCCCCCCCCCCCCCCTGCGTACGCGCTTGAGTGCACCACTGCATTGAAAAGGCAAAGCGTATTCAGGTTTACGTAATAACGGTACGTAATAACGGGAAAAGAGGTGAGTGAATGAAAATGTCCGTGTCATTTCCCAAATAGATGCAAACCAATATTACTAATATTTTCGTTTTACTTTGTCGTATATAACTATATTAGGCTAATTCCCAAACACTTGTAAAGATTTTGTTTTGTTTTTTGATCTGGTTTGTAAAATCATAATTTTCCTTGTACTGAAATAGTTGGGTCTGGGTCTATATGTCCTTGAGGTGATAACTGGAGAGCGATTGAGCTCAGACCAAGATGAAAATAACGGACGTTTAGGAAATGATATCAGTTTAGTAAAATTGAAGAAACAGGGTGAAAAACAAAACAAATAAGCACACCTTTCGAATTCCATCAGAATAATCAAAGCTACACTAATCATTACGTTTTTCCCTTTTCTTTTATCTTGTATTCCTGTAGAATTCGAATCATGGCTGACGCATTAAAGAATGTTATTGCTCAGAGTCTGGAGTGTCCTGTATGTCTGAACACCTTCAACGATCCCAAGATCCTGTCTTGCTCTCACACCTACTGCAAGGCCTGTCTGGACAACCTCTTAAAATGCCATGGTAGCCACGAGATGCTCCGATGCCCTGTCTGCAGAGCTGAAACGCAGGTCCCAAACCAAGAAGTAAGCAGATTACCGGCAAGTCTAGCTTTAAAGTCTCTCATAGAGGACATGAAGGATCATTATCAGTTTTGCACGAATTGTAAATCCGAGGACAAGCCCCAAGCTGTTGTCTACTGTCAAGACTGTGGCAAGTATTTATGTAGCACTTGTCACAACAAACACTCTCAGTGGCCAGACTTCATCGGTCATGAGGTCTTAGCCATGAGTGAGATTGTATCAGGGAAAGTGTCAGTACGTATATACCGAAAATGCAAGAAACACCCCAAAGAGGATGAGGAGTGGTTCTGTTCCGACTGCAGGAGATTTGCCTGCTTCAAGTGTGTTGTCATGGAGCATACAAACGAAGGGCATCGGGTCATCGAGACAGCTGTTTATGAAAGCAGCCACATAAAGAGTATCGAGGACCTCAAATCCAAGGCGGACAAGAAACGCTCTTGCTTTCAGAAATACGTTGATTTCATCGACGAACAGAAGGAGCGTGTGAACAATGTTCAGAAGCAGTGTACAGATGATATCAACAAAGCATATAAAGAATCAGTCCAACAGTTAAGAGAGAGGAAAGACATCCTCATTGGTGAAGTCAAGGGTAGGACCGAAGGAGTAGAGAAAGAACTGGACAAAATGAAGAAATCGGTTGTGGAGCACATTACTCACTTGACCACCATAGCTGACGTGGTAACCAATAGGACAAAGATACCGTCAGATATGGATGCTTTGGCTGCACACGACACTCTATGTCAGGACTTACAAGAGGCCTTAAAACAAGAAGATCCTAACTACAAGCAGCCGAGGCAATCGAGCAGGAAAGGAAAATGTGTCAGTTTTAAGAGGAACGTTGGAATGGACGTGCTAGCTCTCGGTAGAATCGTAAATGCAGTTGCAAAGAACATCGCTTTGCCTACTAAGAATAACATGATTGCCTTGGTTAGTACACCAGACGGTAGGATGGCAGTGGCCGGATGTAACCCAGGTGGCGTGGAGATCTTCTCTGCTGATGGTCATCACAAGAAGAAAATTTTCAAGGATATTAAGATTCGTGGAGTAGGGTTCCTCTCTGATGATCGGTATGTTTTACTTGATCGCTCAAACAATATCACACTGTACACACAAGGGTACACAAAGTTCAATGTAATGTTTGAGACACTGAGTGACAATGAAGGTGGAATTGCTAGCCTCACTGTAGACAGTAATGATCAGATATATGTTAGCTACTGGAACGCTCGGAAGATCCAGGTATTCTCACCAGCAGGTGGGAAGGCGATCAGGGAGATATCATGTAATGGGTATTTACCTTGGCAGATTACTAGTTATAATACTTACATAATCGTCGCATCTGGTAATACAAATACAATCCGATTGATTGACAAACAAGGTGTTGTAAAATATAAGTTAACTAAATCAGGGGACGATCTATATCCTGCGGTGTCTCAAGGGAATACAATTATGATAGCCGCGTTGAAGCGCGATGTAGATTTGGTCAGCATTGATGAGTACACCAACGAGCTGAAGCATATCCAGAACCTCGTCACTGATTACAAGATTGAGAAGCCCGAGATTAAGTGGTACCATCTCCAGCAGTACCGATCAGGAGAGATCGCTTTCTGTACTCGTGATAGACTCTATATATTCCACTAAAATAATGGATGACTCCCCTTTACCTGCACTGAATGATAACACTGTCTTCAGGCCCGTAGGGAGAGGGGGGGGGGGGGAGTACGATGTGTGCGACCGGACCTGTTTTTTCTGGTATAAACAAGCTCGTTGAAAAATAAAGAGAAACAAAATATCTCGTTAAAAAACGGACTTATACCCGCCCCCTTTTTCGAAAGCTTCCAACAGGCCTGGCGTTTCTGTGACCTCATAAAGTGTATATAACATCCAATGGAATCAGTTATATTTTGAACTAGGTGAATTTGAGATTTGGTGACTGTTTCAGAAATGATATATCTAGATCATGTAGATCAGTTTGAATGATTGAACCATTCTAAAAAGTAACCTTTCATTTAATATACTTCGGGAGTTTTTATCTTTCAACATTTTGTTGTTGATGATGACTCTACATGTGAATCTGAATTGTTGATAGCTGTTGTAAATGTGACAGTAAATGATGTAAACACAATTTAATTGTGGACAAAAAGATTGCCTTACGGTAGGAAATAATCATCATAGTGATAGACTCTATGCATTTCACATCACTGTCCGATTATTCAAACTAGTTTTTATAGTTTAGCCAGAATCATGAGAAGAAATGCCACATTTTCATAATAATTTCTATTTTTTACAATATCTCTAGTTGAGTACTAAAGAGTTCAAGAGTTATGTAAGTCGACCAATTAATTTTATGATGAATGTTGCAAATGTATTGTAAAACCAATCTTAAAATTAAGAATTTTTTTCCCATCTGAATGGCTGTGATATCTTGTTTCCTGTTTTCTATGTTAATTTTCCGTCTAGCTGAGTACATGAGAGAATTAGTATTGAACTTGTCGGAAATACCCAATTCATTTATCCACTTTTGGGGGATATTTCGTTTTGTCTGTGTTTCAATCTTTTTCAGTTTCTGTTCTTAATATATTGTCCATAGACATTTGAGTCAATCCTATCTGAACCCAGTAAAATGAAATAGTATGTATTAGGAAGGAATCTTACTGATTTTAACGAATGCAGACAAAATAGAGAAATTAGTTTTTATAAGATTTCGTGAAATCTTGACTCTAAAGCTACTCTATGTTCGCTTTGTACTGTAGTTTTCATTAAACATCACCCAGCAATTCTGTTTGTCATATCTGTGGCCGGAATATGAAATTGTAAGGTCCTCCTGTGTTTGAAAATAAATACACTATCATAAGAAATAAAAAATTAAAGAAGATATTTTTGGGACATTTTCCATATTAAACAAATGGGGTAGCAATCGAATAGAGTTGCCTATCTATATAGGGGGCCAAACTGACTCCAAAATAACCTCACAAACTTGTATAAATCGACCATTTTTTTCATTCTGTGTATTAATGTCATTTCTTGTTGGGTCTCATGTTGGTCTGGGTATCAACTAAACTAATGATGATCCAAGATTTAAAACTAAATAAGTAAGCAAACATAAGAAGAAATTAAAACAAAAACAGCTGAAAGTTACTCTTGCAAATTACTATTAATTTAATTTGATTTTTGTTGTCCTTTTCCTTGATCTATTTGATAATATCGCGCACGGTGATGTGTATTTTGTGTTGTAGGAATGTTGTGTTTTGTTATGTCATTAAAATCTGGTACACGTATTTAACTGTTAATTATATCTTCTTTAGGTTAGCCATTTTTGTACATTTTGTACATTTTTGTACAGATGCATATAGATGTATTGTATTTTATCATTTTGTGTGACAATATATTATTTCATGTACACGTAATTTTTTATGTATGTTATTCTTTAATTGAATTGATGAATTGAATTGGATTGAAACAAAACTATAGTTACTGATACGATATTATATTGTTATGATGACATATGTCTTCCTATCGCGACCACACCAATCCCTTGTTTTCAAAACTAAAAACTCTAAAAGCTGATGATATAAATTTTCTACAAATAGCACTTTTTTTTGTTTCGCTTACAAAATGGTCTACTACCTTCATACTTCCCCCCGTTGTTTAATTTGAATAAAACCATCCACTCTTACCCCACAAGGCAAACTGAAAAATTCCATTTAAAGGAGTCACACCAAGAAGCAAAAGTGTATTGAATTGATGCAAAATTCATATCATTGCGAAGGGGAAGCCTTACTGATCAAATACAACAAATTTCCTCTTCAAAATATGTTTGGGGCCCGCAGAAATCAACTTTCAAAAATGTTAGTTTTGAGATCCAGATTTACTGCCTTCAGCAGTCCTTCGTATGACGTCACTATTATGACGTCACACCCTGGACACGGCTGTCTAGCTGCAGACTAATACACGCGCGACTGCGGTATGCGGCCGGTACCGAGCTGTTTGTCCAGGGTGTGACGTCACTATTCAGAGCTCGCTACGCTCGTGTGTTTGGCTTACGTTCGGGGGCGCTTGGGGGTCTAAGAAGGGTCTTGAAAAATTGCATTTTACGCCTTTCCATGATATCTATATGATTTCTCAGCAAATTATTCGTGTTTTTCAAGAGAAAATCTTTCTATCCATATGTAATTTGTTCTAATTATCAGTTGTTAAGCAGGGCTCCCACTTATCCGAGTTGGAGTCTCGAGTTGTGGCGAGCTTGCGCAAGCTTATTGCTAGCCGTTTTATCATTAAAACATATTTCTTGATATCAAAAATGTAATTCTTAATATCACGAAATCGAATTCTTGATATCACGAATTCAATTCTTGATATCAAGAATTACCAATGCTTTACAACGTAAAATTATTTCTTGATATCAAGAAATATGTTTTAATAATAAAACGGCTTGCCATAAGCTTGCGCCAGCTCGCCACAACTCGAGGCTCTAACTCGGCTAAGTGGGAGCCCTGCTTTAGTAAAGTTTCTTTGTGTAGCTCCTTTAAGAAATCCAAAAACCGCATTGGCTCTCAAATCCATTAAACACGCCGGCCCAGACATCTGGAACTCTCTGCCCATTGTACTTAGGACATTGTATTCGTTTAAGAAGGCAGTTAAAACTATGTTATTGTCTAAGTATTGATCATATCGTGTGTAATTCTACTGTATTCATGTTCGTGTGTACATTGACTGTATATTCAACAATGATGTGTAATCGTCCATGACCTAGCATCGTTTTTCCACTCATGAATGAACCTGCATTCAATCAGTAGATGTATGAGATTTATTGCACGTCAAGCTACTTTGCTTATTTCTGTAGCCCTCCTGCATCTAATGTATGTTAATTATGCATTCAATAATTTGTTTAAATTCAATATATTTGTTTAAATTTAATATATTTGTTTAAATTCAATATATTCGTTTAATTTCGTTTATTATCTGTATAAAATTATAAACACTTGAAATATTGTATCAAACCATTTTATGTTCATGAAAATGTATGATGGAAAAAAGAAAAAAAATGCAGAAACCAATAAATCAAATCAAATCAAATCAAATGTATTTACAAAACATCATATGAAATATGTGATGTCTACGGGATTATTTGCAGGGGGTGTGCAAGTGTGTATTTTAATTATTTATTTATTTATTTCGCATCTTTATAGAGAGTATCATGTTCAGCTATATAATCATTACGAAACATTGTTAAAAACATTAAAATAGGCTGGTTTACAACAGGGCTCTGTTTAAAAAAACATAAATATGACAATGAACAATATTATAATATAATATTGTTCATTGTCATATAAAAATTACAGGGGTGACGAAGGCTAACACACACACACACACACACACAAATGTTTACCACCTGTTTACAAAATAGAAATTACATTAAATCAAGCATAAAATGTTGATACAAGGGGGCAGCATTTTTTTTAACGCTAGATGGAGCTTGTACTGTGCAACATATAGTTGTACCACTGTTATACAGTGCGTCCCAGAAAAAACGAAACCGAGAACCATCGATGTTTTATCATAACTTAATCACAATTATATTTAATAAATGACACATATTTGGAAAGCTTAGATACTCCTCTTTCATTTGATGCAACTTATATAATGCATATTTCACGCATGAGTGATTACCAGCAATTTGAAGAGAGGAAACCAAAAAGTCATTTGACGGGTGGTATCCCAATTTCAAGGAGAAAATAACATTTCTAGAAAGTTCAATTTCTGCCCTTTCATATGACACCTCAATCAGGAAAAATGAGCCAGGAATAACAAAGTTCTGTTTGTTTAAAGTCATGCTTGCATTTCCATAATTTGATTAAACGGGTTCGTTTTTACTGGCTGCCTGCCGTTGCAACGAACAGAATTGACAAAAGACTTAACTCCATTTCGTTGACGATCAGCCATGCACAAAGAAGACGAAAGACCTGATGCCTGGCTGATCTTCAACGAAATGGAGTTAAGTCTTTTGTCAACTCTGTTTGTTGCTACGGCAGGTAGTCAGTGAAAACGAACTCGTTTGATCAAATTAGGGAAATGCAAGCATTTTTTTAAACAAACAGAAGTTTGTTATTCCTAGCTCGTTTTTCCTGATTGAGGTGTCATATGAAAGGGCAGAAATTGAACTTTCTAGAAATGTTATTTTCTCCTTGAAATTGAGATACCGCCCGCCAAATGACTTTTTGGTTTCCTCTCTTCAAATTGCTGTTAATCACTCATGCGTGAAATATGAATCATATGAGTTGCATCACATGAAAGATGAGTATCTAAGCTTTCCAAATATGTGCCATTTATTAATTATAATTGTGATTAAGTTATGATAAAACATCGATAGTTCTCGGTTTCGTTTTTTCTGGGACGCACTGTATATGAATGTGTACTCCGATTTCTTATGCAGGTATAATGTCTACTGTGATCGAGTTGTTATTCCATCTTTCTCAAAATTTAGCACGAATTTAAACCTTTCTCCTAAAGCAATACGGTAGACACCAAAATTTGTATGAGGTATTGTAAATACTTTTATTTGGATTACCAAATAAATTTTGATTCACATCGAATTCAGATTGAGTTTTTCATATATCGCACAGTTGAAAGAGCTGTTGTGC